TAAATATTTACATAAGTGTAGTGCAAAAAATCCCTATGTAATTTCAATTTATTTTACCTCAATTTACTCGAACTCGCATACGGCCTATATAGTTCTGACTTATTGCAACATTAGCAACATTAGTACAGGAAATAATTTCGTGGCCTAGAAAATAAACAAAAACGTATAGGATATTTTTAGTATGAATTAAAAGACAAGGTCTTAAGAAAACATCAATCAAAAAATTCTCCAGTCAAAAAATTCTCTACACCTTTAACATAGTTTCTTTGAAATAATTAAATCATATACCAAATTTTAATTCATATTTTGATTATTAATATTTTCTTATACCTTAAATAAATCAAATTTAGTAATTATAATTCTAACGATTGATAGTTCCCATTAGAGGCCAAATGTATTAAAACAGTAAGTAACAGAAGTAAAACTCTTTAATAAAAAATTAAAGAGTTTTAATTTTATAATATAAAATATTTGTAATATAAAACATTTTATATCAATATATAAAATTTTATTTTTTATTAAATAATTTAATATAAATAAGATAAGATGTAATTTTATGTTTTAAATGAAACGCTTGAGATACTCAGTGCCACCCAATACAATTCTAAATGCTTTGCAAAACGATTGAATATTGTATATATGAACTATAGTTATCTGTCTTACAAACATTAAAAAATGTTCGCTCGTTCAAGGATATATGTATATTGTTTGGTATTATACATCAATTCTGATGTATCTAAATTTATAACACCTTCAATCGGAATCAATTCAATTCTCAGAATTGCAGAATACTGCCGTGGGAATTCAGTTTCTATTCCGCTTACATTCGCAGATCGTACTAAATTTACAATTTAAAAAGTGCCCTATGAGAACCTCTCAGGGAACAGATAGTTATTTGTAAACATATTCTGTTATAACATATCTTGCAATAATAATATTATTACTTAATAGTAATATTATTACTTTTCAAAACATAAATAAAACTTTTAGACAAAATTTATTGCAATGATGCAATAATTTATTTATTTAAATTATTTTAGTAAATTAAAAATCAATTAAAAACACATTCTATCTACAAATTCGTGATTAATTTGTATAAAAATTAAATAAATTTATTATTTCGTAACTACGATATCTATTCGTAATTAATTTGATTAATTATATAAAAAATTTTAATAATGCATTTTAAGGGTTGAATTGTTGTTTATTTAATTTCTTTACTGAAATGACAGAAACTTTGAAACGAAATTCCAAAATAATTATTGCTTATACATTAAGGACCGAAAAGCTTTCGGAAATTCTCATTTAAAATTCGCGCGCTGTATATTTTCCGATATTTTAAGTTTATGTAGTTTGGCAGCACTGTCCTTAATTACTATGCCAAAAATGAGCGCGATCTGTCAGACAGTTCGTTTACGGCAGCTGTTGAAACCAGTTCACCTCAGTAGGGCGTTGCGAAAAAAACAATGGAAAAAAATATTGAACAAAGAGTTTGCATCAAATTTTGTGTTTCGAACGAAATTTCGTGTGCAGAATCGTTGCGAATGCTACAAAAGGCTTATGGGGAATCAGTTTTATCGAAAACTCAAGTTTATGAGTGGTACAAAGCCTTCCAGGACGGTCGTACGACCGTCGAAGACATTTCGCAACGCACTACTGAGGTGAACTGGTTTCAACAGCTGCCGTAAACGAACTGTCTGACAGATCGAGCTCATTTTTGGCATAGTAATTAAGGACAGTGCTGCCAAACTACATAAACTTAAAATATCGAAAAATATACAGCGCGCGAATTTTAAATGAGAATTTCCGAAAACTTTTCAGTCTTAATGTATCACTGAGAATATTTTCATCATTGCGATTTGATCACCAGTGAAAATGCAATTTAAAATTTATTTATTTTTACATAAAATTTATTTAACAATAACCAATGAATGTTAAAAATCATTTAAAATTATATAATCATTGAATGATTTAATTTATTATTTTACATAAATCAAAACACTTAGTTCTTATTAATAACTTACAACGTAGTTTGAATTTAGGAAGTGAATTAAATAAATAGTGCATATATTCATAGAGCTATTTTAACCCGTTGTATAAAATAATTATTATTACTGCAACTAACAAAATAGTATTTGCGGTTAAAATACAGATGACGTTTTCGATTGGTAAATATGGATTAATCTAGAATTGCCCTCGATCTGTCCAGTTTTGTTGTCCAATTAAACATTATTACAGTAATCAAACATTTTTGTAGTAGTTTTAGTGGATATATAAATTTTTCTTAAATACATATATCGAATCAAATCACACTTTTTTTGTCAAGTCATATAAAACAATTACGAATTTTAGAGTAATCTTGCTACTCTGGTGAAATATATAGAGTGTTATAAATTAAACTCAAGTGTTATATATTTCGCTCGAGATTTATCAATCGAAAATGAAAATTGCACTAAAAGTAAATCTCGATTAAAAAAGCTTCGTAGAATTACCAATCAAAAACGGCATATGTGATTATCCCAGCCCTGACGTTCCGGTATTAAAACACGAAAAGGACGATCAAGCTATACTTTTGATTTGATTAAGTCCGATATGTATGTTCAGTACATGTTAATGTGTAGAAGTTTTCTGCTAATTTTCCAAAATTAAGTTTTGATTTTATATCAACACAGTCCCTGCTTCAGTATACAGATGGGTTTGGTGACTTCGCCCTGGATAAACGTGATAGAATACGAAATTATTGTAAAATTTTTTTAGTATTATTTTAATATCTATAAGAGCAATTTTATTGGTTTTAATTCTTATACTTCATTTGAAGTTTTATTTATAATTTTTATTTCCTATAACAAAAAATTTATTTCGAATTGAAAAAGGAGTGAGAAAGTTTCAGATAGAAAAATAATTTTTAATCAAGTGAAATTCTTTAGCCGATTTCAGATATTGCCAAATATCCATTATCATCATCCTCTTTGGAAATAATCGTTGCTTTCTTTATACATATATAATTGGACTGTAAAAGTTTTATTTGAAATTAAAGAAAAATGTTGTTTCTTTTTCGTAATCAATATGATCAATATGAAAACATTTTTCGTAATCAATATGAAAACATTAAACGCAATCTATACCTTAAAATTTTATTGACAACGGCTTCAAGTTACACAATCTCATATTTTAATATAATTAACGCTTCTTCAGGAAGAGCTCATATGTAAGTGCACTGAAGCATTGACCATTTTCAAACAAAACAAATTTGTTCACATCTTAATAATGCCTTGAGATACAAATGTATATAACTATTTCATTTCATAAAATGCCAGATGTAACACGCCGCTGAGGGACTATTAGAACTAAATACTCAAATATTTGTATATCAATGCATATGTTTAAAAGTGAACTCATAAATTCACAAGTCAACTAAATACAAGCTTACATGTCCTGAGAGGATAATTCTACGTGGCTGTTAAAAATAATATCAATGAGGAAAACTGTTTCAGGAAGCGTATCTTGAACAAAGCGGTGATTATAATAATAAAAGGAAACATAACTTAGGTTTATATCACTTGAATTAAAAGAGTTTAAAAATTCTGACTGTATGTATATATATTTTTGTGTCATATACAAATCTAAATATATATTTCTCAACAATAATTAAAAAATTTGGTTTCATTATATTTAAGATATTCATGGTAAAAAAAATGTTAATATATATTCAGAAGAAAGAAGTTGAGATATAAAGTCGATATGAGTCGTATATGTAAAACTTAAATACTTTTTAAAACTTTCTTCATCTTCCTTTTTCAAAGACTTAATATTTTACTCTATAAGTAATTCAATTTACCAACTTGAAAAATAGATATTAAATAAATTCTTTGATATCAACCTTATTGCTAATTCAGCACGTTTTACAATACTAAATATACGAATATCAAGACAAAATTACCTTAAAGTTTTACTTCATTAATAAAACATTTTGGTGTGCTCCATTACTATAATATGGACAGGAGACCTTCACAATTTTTAAAATCGCAAGGAAAGAAAAGATGTTTTGCTAATAAGAAGGAGAGCCAAGGTAAGCTAGTAGCATTATTTAATGCTACTCCTATTAGTAGCATAACTATTGGATTTCATTGGCAATACGGAGCTCACCTACAGAGTAAATGGTATCGTTAAAGAAAAGGAAAACGATACGTGATTAATGTAACTATTAAATAACGAATCTAAAATTTGGGATCATATAACAAATAAGATAAATATCAGCAAAATAAAAGAAAAAGAGAAGATATATAATATAGGTTCTTTGGAGCTGAGTACAACTAAATGGTAAAGCCTCCTAATTTGGTGACACTTATATCTCTAAAATATTAAAATACTAATGTATTCATTTAAAACTTAAACCAACGACTAATGGAGTTTATTTCTGCAAGGTCTATCCATTCACTGTTCAGTTTGTAGAAAAAATTTGAATTTAAGAATTATGGTTTATCCTATCCTACGATAAACATTTATCCTCCTATTTTTTATTACTATTATAAACTTAATGTACAAATGTTTATCCTATCCTAGGATAAGCATTTATCCTATCCTATCCTAGGATAAACATTTATCCTATCCTAATATCCTAGGTTTTATATTACTTAGAATCTAAAAATGTTTTTACGTATTACGTATGAGTTGGTAAGTTACTCCATATTAATTATCTTTAAAGAGAGTCTTCAAGCAACAATTTCTCAAAACGTTGGTGGCATTTTTGAAATGCATTAAAAGCATTACAGAATTTAAAGTACTAGCAAGTATCTCAATGTGTTTAGTATGCAAGTGTCATAAATTCTGTTGATAACTTGACACGTCAACAGCTATAAGCGAACACTTAAAACAAAAAATAATAAACAACAGAATCCACTTATGAGCAATGATCGCATCAATTACACCCTTTTCGAAATAAATACTCACTTAGATGTTCTGCATATGGGAATGGCGGAGAGCACCAGGCAAAATTCTAATGAGCCGTCATTAATATTAAACACGAGCTGTCATGTCAGGAAAAAATTTTTATAAAATCATATGAAGAAAATGCAACAAAATATTGAGAAGATCAAAGCGAATTTTTGTTTTTATTTTGAGTTGCACTAATAGTCATTAAAAGATTTGCCGCCAGATTTTGAAATGAAAAAAATTGCGAAGCTTTGAGTTTTTTTTAATTTCCATACTAAATTATAAGTTATGTAATAATTTTAACTAATATACTGTAGCTACTTTGCTTTACATAACAGTTGTACAATTATCCGTCTTCAAAACACGCCCTCAAAATACAAATTCCTCGTCTCATAGATATACTGTCTGCTTTGTTGTTTGAAATGAAGATGTCTTGTCAGCAGCTGACATTTTGTGTCAGCCCAATTTGCTAGGTATGTGTTTTCCGACATGGACTTTTTATAACTGTTGTCGGCTGTCAACGGACTGATATAATTCGGTAAGGCAGACAACAACACTTCAACTGCCTATGTTCTTATGCACATATGCCTATATGTGTATATAATGAACATGTATCTTCTGGCAGTCTGATCTTTTTTCTCATATTTTATTTTGTTTGCACTTCAAGCATTAAATGATACTCAAATTTCAAAGTCAAATTGAAGCGTCTCCTTAAAATATTTAAAAGTTATATCACTTTAATTTCCTTAAATGTTTTGGGGTGTAAAGATTTAGACTTAATGTGTGATTGGCATTTTCCGGATATGCGTACTTGAGATACTTGTAATACGTTTCAATTGCTCATTGGCAATGACACTCTGCTAAGTGGTTGTAACGTAGAGTATAGCATCTAAACATAGTTTGTATCTTTAAAATACTCAATATTAAAAATATACAGTAGATACATATACTCTTATGATGAGTTTATTTAAACAAAGATTAAAATAAATTACATGATATGTTTTTTCTGAACATAGGACTTAGTAAATATTTTCTAATTAAATACAAAACAACCTAGATAAAAACATAATTAAACTGTCACAATACAACTACTAATATATATTATAACTGAAACAACCACAAGTTTTTTAAGACTTTTTACCGTTCTTTTGGGGAAAAGATAGATCTATACAAAGACGAAAAATACTCGCATGAAAACGTGTTTTGGATTTCAAATTAATAACCCTAAACTAAATATAGCGGAGAATATTTAACTAACTGAACAAATAAATGTTATACTATATTATAGCTCAGTATTATTTCGATATCAAGGCAACATGCAAAAAAAAATAAAAAAAATTATAGAGCAATCTGTTCTAACATATAAATCTATTTCTTTTATAATTATACCTCACCTTTTAACTATACCTTTTATAATTAATGTTATAATCAAAGTATATATTGTTATGAAATTAGGGTTTGCCAGTTAAATAGGAAGTATAAATGGGATAAAAACGATTGGAAGGAAAATTATTATCATTAGTTAATCTTTAACCTTGATTTCTTTTACGGTATGACTTATGACAAAACAAGATAGATTGCGATAAAGTATAACAAGTTATTTGAGTTATTGAGTTATTGCTTAACTTTTACAAAATCCAGTTGTTCGAACCAACACATCAGAGTAGTAATTTTGTAACAATATCTTACATCGAAACCCTTGAATATATTTTTCTTAACGAAGACATTTTTTTCAACAAAATATTACATAAAATTGGAGATTAGTTAAAGAATCTAGTACGATTGTTTAGAATAAAATAATTATAGTACTAAAATTATTTGATATTACTTGATATTTAATTTCAAAAACACAACAATAAGATATATATGTTATAAAGTTGATTACATATAGTTTTGTACTACTTTTTTTTCTCAATAAAAATTTTGTATATAATTTAACTATATAGGCCGTGTGCGAGTTCGGGTAAATTGAGGTAAAGTAAATTGATATTTCCTAAGGATTTTTTGCACTGCACTTATGTAAATATTTATTTATTTATTTATTGCACTTATTTATCATTTTTGGTTAAAAGTTTTCTAATTTATTTATTTACTTATTAAACATCTCATAAAATTTTCACAATGGCAACATCTAATTTACATAATTTTTAACTAATTCACCCTACTCGAAATTCTAGTAAATACCTATATTCGCTGCCATACCGACATAATTTACTATTTCATAATAATTTACTCGAACTGGCACACGACCATACTCTGCAAAAGTTACTCCAATTCAAGTTTGCGAAAAGATCCCTCAAGACCAAATTCAGCTTCATAAGGTATGACATCACCGCTGCGTAAGTTTTCATTCATACCGTATAGAATGTCTTCTTCGAAATAGGTTTTGTAACTTCTCAGAGTGTCTTCCATATAACCAATACATTCGGCCATATGACCATTATAACCACCATATTCTTCTGGAAGGCATTTCCTTGGAACATGATTGTAAAGTTCTTCAGTTGTTTTTAAAACAGTCATCTATGGATAATAAAGTATTATAATAGTTTTTAAGCTGCAAGGAAACTTTACATTACCGGATAATCAGTTTCATTTTGAAAGAATTTTTGAATCTGCATCATACGAAGCATATCTTTACTTGCATTTATAAAATAAACTTGTTTTATCCGTAAAGGAAGACAATCTCTTATCCAAAAATACCACATTTTCATAGTATGATGATCAAAGCTATGAAAGAATGCATTTTCTATACCAGCCAAATCAACAATTTGTGTTACACCTGCTACATTTGCATTATCATTCTCTAGAGCCATGATTTCCATAGCCATAGTAACAAACTTAATTAATTCACATTGCCTATGCTGCTTTCGTGAAAATTGACCACAACGTACCATAAGCAAAGCAGTATTGTTGTCACATTTTGGAAATTCTGGATAGATATGTATGCTATAAGTTTACAAAACATATATCATTATTATCATATTTCATATTATTTTGCTAATACTAACCCACAACGGTTCATGTATAGTATGCGATCCGTTACAAGACGATTATAAAAAATCTGTGGCAGCACATTATAAAAATGGAAAAAAAGTTCTATACGTTTTTTGGTTTCTTCCAAACTATAACTGCAACATCTGAGAAATGCAATCAAAAACTCATCAGAAGTACGGGCTCTCAGATGTATTTGCTGGCGTATCCAAACTCTTAATATGAACAAGTCCTGTTCTACACGTTCAGGTATTTCATTTAGTTGCTCCTTAGCTATTTTAGCCAAAGCTGGTGTGAGTGGTCGCATATTTACTTCTCAAATAAAATGCAACCTTTCGCTAACTATTTTCAATTTAATAATCTAATTGCGACTAAATTGTTTCTCCGTTTAAACAATTAGAGATATGGCATTTGTAATGATTTTGTTTTCACTGTCATATATAAATAACGTGTGATATACGATACCCGTATATCCTTAACAACCGAATTATCTTATCTGAATTTCTAATCTCCAGCATAATTACAAAAGCGTGTTTGTTAAATTGAATAAATTGCTCAAATAAAATAAACTTTATGTATATATATTTTACGATTTTTCTTTGTATCATATTGGTGAAAATTATGAAATAAATTATAACGTATTAATAATTAGAACGATTTTTTAATTTTATAATAGGTTGATATTAATATAAAATCATTTAATTTCTGACTTAATCGTAACTATTGTATTTTATGGAGAGATTTCGAACAGTAGTGAACTATAACAACAGCATTTTTTTTATATATTAATTAATAGTGACTACAACAACAACAATTCTTTTATATTATTTTAATTAATGAATTTTTGGCTGACCATACATCTCTTTCGAGTATTGCCAAATACTCATCTTTAGTGGTCATGGAATTCAATTTCTTATATTTAATTATTCGTAAATAATACTTGAAGCCGCAAATATCAAGGGTTGAACCCGTACCCTGTCATATTTGAAGCTCAGAATCAGTGTTCAGTAAGCACCTGACACAAAGCTACTGATGATGGGTATTTGGCAATACTTGAAACAGTTGTATGGCTAGCCAAAAATTCAATTAATTAAAATATCAAAAAAAAATTGTTGTTGTAGTTCATTACTGTTCAAAACCACTTTTAAATCATTTGTAAAATCTTCTCTCTAGTATATCTAATATAAAGTATTAACCAAACACATAACCAAAATAGTTTAGTTTTTTAAAAAGGGCTGAAGTCGATTCATTTTCAAATCTAAAATTATGACCTCTTGTATAGATATGTCAATGTATTAAATTTTCAGGCATTACTATCACTTAACTTTAATGAAGTAATGGACCGAAAAATTGCAGAATAAAATATGAATTAAATAAGCCAAAGTACTGAAAATATTCAGTTCTAATCATTAAATCAGATATATTTACGCACTTTAAAAATCGAAAAAATAATAAAACTGCTGTCATTTTAATATTGTAGATTTATTATATGATATAATGCATTTAATATATAATTTCTGTACGAATAAATTATTTTAAATATTTTATAATAAATATTATTTTCACGTTTAGTTTATGTGTAATTATTGGGAATAATTTCAATATAATTTTTTTATATACTTTATTAATTTATATATTTCCAAATATTTTTAATAAAGTCATCTTAATCGACTTGCAATTTCCTGTACGAACCATTTAAGCCACAAAAATCTCGATGTTCAAATCTTTTAGTTAAACAAATTCTGTTCTTCTCAATTGTTCCAAAATTGTCATCATTGGCGAAGTAATCAGTGTATTGTAACAATTTGTGTCGCCAATATTCCAATGCCTCTGCCTGATATCCATTCTGTCCACCATATTCAATAGGCAAAGCTTCACGTGGCAAATACCTAAAAATATCTTCAGCTTTTTTATGCATAAAAACCTATAATAATTTTAATATTGTCAAAAAAAAAATATTATCCTTACAATGCCATGATAAAAACTTACTTTGAAATGTTTCTTACAAGACAAAAAATTAGACATTATATTATAAATCGTAAAAGTATCCCGACGCATATGTATTAAATGGATTTCAATCAATTTCAAAGGCATACAACGTTCACCAAATAACCAATTCTTCTTTAGCAAAGCGCGATCACATTTTCGCATCTGTTCCATGGTTATATCACGTATATCAAATATGAAGACTATACCAGCAACAGTTGCATTATCATCCTCCATGGCAAGAACTTCCAACAACATAAAAAATATTTTGAAAATCTCATTCAAATTCATGAATTTCGGGTCTTGCTTGACAAGCGGTATAATAATTATTCTCGGACCAATAGCACTACTTGGTCTAATCGGTATGATATAGACACTATAAAAATAATTTAAATAATTAAATCTTTATTTTGATATTCTATAGATACAATTCCATAGGTACTAACCCAGTGTTATATAAGTGAATTAAAGATTTGGTTACTTCACGTTCGCATAGGAACTCTCTGCAATGAATTTTCATTGTATAAAAAGCGTCAATACGTTTCTTTGTTTCCTCCATACTAAATTGGCAACGCCGCAAGAAAGCTAATAGCAATTTTTTATCCATACGTGCTTTAAGGTGAGGGGACTGCTTAATCCATGATTGCAGTGCACTAATGTGGCATTCCACGGTGTCTGGATTTTCATTACAATTTTCTAAAGCAAGTTCTTGCAGAGCTGGTGTAAGTACACGTATTGTGTTCGACATTTCTACTTTAATGACTAATATCAACTAAATACTGATTGTACTAACATCCAGACCTTGCTATGCTAATTTACTGGAAATGCTCTTGTATCTTATCAAAATATTGGGAAAATGTGTGGAAAATAGTATTTTAACTTTTTTTTTTTGTAAATATATTGCCAGGCGTGAATTAATTAGCGATAAGGGATTATCTATAATTTTATCAACAAATATGCTCAAAGTGATTAATAAATTAATAACTAATTGACATATTTATTTTTTTTATATAGTAAAATAATATAATTATATCAATAAATAAAACAATCGAAAACGTATCTAAGATAGCATGTAAATTGTATATACAATTTCAGATAGAACAATGAATATTTTATGGATGGAAGTCTCGAAAAATTAATGCACTATAAAAATTTTAAAATAAAATATATTTACATATACCGAGAACAATACCAAAATAAAAATATATAAAAATAATGCTGTATTGAGAATTTATATTCTTCAATTAACAGTTCAATTTTAATAACAGTGCTCACTATTGTGAACCCTATTGGACCGAGAATAATTATTATACCGCTTGTCAAGCAAGACCCGAAATTCATGAATTTAAATGAGATTTTTAAAATATTTCTTATGTTGTTGGAAGTTCTTGCCATGGAGGATGATAATGCAACTGTTGCTGGTATAGTCTTCATATTTGATATACATGAAATACGTGATATACTATTGTGAACCCACTGTACAAAAATCTTGGAATGCATTCCTTCAAAATACAATATTATTTATTTACTTATTTGGGACTAAGCACTAAAATTAATTTTAAAGTTCACTAGGAATAAAGAACTGGACTACTAGATCCTTCGCCCTGCCAAAAAGTATATTTTTATTACTGGTTTTGGTTTGGGCACTTAAATTATAATTAGTTGATAATAAAAATTAAAAAAAAGTTTGCTAAAGGATTTGGCAAATACAGATTGGATATTTAATTATATTTAAACATATTTTTATTGGTATTATAAATACGTAACATCAAAACAATTCTATCGCAACATAATCTAAAACTACATTGATATTAAGAATTATTGCTGTGGATATAGTATTAATATTTACTTCTAGTGCTGATCCAGTATCCAATATTAACATTAGTTTTATATTTATCTTTACAAAGAGGAGGTAGTATGATAAGTCATTTGAATTCAGTACATTTTTATTACAGACTATTGAAATTAATAATATACATTTAATATTATCATGATACGGGACCTCTGACATCCCAAAATTCCAAACCATCACATATTGCATACAATTCTGAAAAGTTTAAAAATGTAAAAATGATCTATTATTATCTATTAATTATCTATTATTATTATTATCTTTGGCATTTCAATTCATTGTAAAAAAAAACTTCAAAATATAATGTCTCAAATTCAGTTAGAAGGTTAAAACAACAAGAATGACTATTATTTTTGGTATTATTTTGGTAAATTTCATGTACACCCACTTCAGGTATAGAGAATATATTGCTGTTATTTATAATCTCTATTTCTAAAACTCAAGATAATATAAGTTTGCGTGAGCAATTATTTTAATCTTTGTTCTTAGCTAAGACAAATAGATAGATAAACAATTAAATAGAGACAACCTGTCTCAACAAGAAAGGGCACACTACTTGCTCAGATACCACAGAGAAACCCTGTTGTGATACCACAAAGAAGTTAAAAACACTTCAGCTGATTGAAAAATTGTAAAAAGAGAGATAGAAAAGAGAAATAGATATTTTGATAAAATCAGTGGTCCTTAACGTACACATTGAACATATAGATAATTAAGGAAGGAAGAACTAATAGTGAATTGAGGCTTTCTGGTGAGTGCTGAGTAGTTAGTAACATTTTCTTATGTCTGCTCTGACTTGCAACTTTAACAATAACCTATGCGTCAATTTAGTCGATATAGGTTTCCTTTAGAAAATAATTAAATTTCTTAGGATAATATTAGAAAAGAAATTCAGTTTGATCCGATGAACATCAGTAAGGATTTTCAGAAAACTTTTTTAAAATAGTAGTTATAAGTCTGCATGGTGTAGTTCACACAAGAGATTTCACACAAAAATTT